GATTGAAGACACACGTGGGCCGGAAATGGCCCACGGGCCACCACTTGAGTAGCCCTGGTCTATAGGCACATGTTGGAATATAGAAAATTGAGACTTAATTTCTAGTCTTGGTTTCTGCCTGCCTGTTTTTTTATGACTATTGTCAGGTTCAGCAGACACAGGTGGTTACCATGACAACATGCACAGACTCAGCTGTATTTCAGCTTCAAACATTTTCTTTAAAACTTGATGTGAAGTTTCTTTTAAACTTGTCATTCCTACATCAAACACTGCAACGTAAACGTCACATGTGAGACCATCAGAGACTTCTGTAGCTCACAGGTTAACACTTTTTAAGGTACCGTCTTCTTCAGACTATAAGGTGCACTTAAAATCCTTTAATTTTCTCAAAAATCAACAGTGAGCCTTATAATCAGGTGCACCTTATGTATTAACTCTGGTTGTGCTTACTGACCTCGAACTGATTTTATGTTGTTATTGTGAATGAGTTGAATAAAGTTTGACTTATCTGACTGTTTTCTTTCACTTAATGCTCCTTATAGTCCAAAAAATACAGTACAACTTGTAGTTTTTGAACGGTGACTGTTTGAGGCTAATTTTTCAGTCAACCTCTGATCAACTTGACCATCAGGGAGTGAAAAACACAGGTGTGTGGTTACCATGGTGACCATAGCAAGCCCCAGGTAGCAGCTTTAAAGAAATATTTATATATATATATATATATAAATGAATGTTCTAAGTAGTTATCAATAGTTAGAGCTTCTTCAGAAGTGTCATGGAGCGGGGGTGGGGGGCGGAGAGGTCAAATTCTTTGGCCAGGCTAGGCTAATGGTTAGCTAAACTAGTGCCATTAAAAAAAAATCATTACTTAGACTTTAAAACAACTCTCACAAAAAACGACAGACTGATGTGAAAGAAGACTTTTAGCTAATATTCAGCCTCGTTACCTTTTGCAGGACGAGTCCAGTTTGTCACTGTTTTCTCAACCAAACAGTGTTTCTTCATGTTTGACAGACCCTGTCTGGACAATGAGGGTCAACCAGTCCAACCACTGATGAGCTCGTCCTCTCAGTCCTAAGGTTAACTCAACCCCTGGCAGGCGGATCCACTCGCAGCCTCAGCACCATCTTCCCACTCTGCCCAGTAATACATTCACCATTTCAGTTCAGTTCAGCCTGTGTTCTTTATGGTAGCATGTCTGATCATGGGTTCTTATACAGTATACTGATTTTCTTCTTTCAGCTGCTCCCTTCCTCAGTGGTCTCCACAGCGAAGTAACTCGCACAAAGACTTGGCAATTGTTTTTATGCCGGATGCTCTTCCTGACGCAACCACAGACCACTGAGCTACCGCAGCCCTCTGTGTGGAGCAGAGAGCTGCCAGCTAGGGCGCCTGAGGGAGCAGATGGTGGAGGTTAAGGGCCTTGAGGGGCAAATGAGGATGGAGACAGGTGTGGGTGTTTCAAATTTGCCACCCACATTTTGATGTCGGTCTGCGGAGTTGACCCAACGATCTTCCGATCACAGGCCCACCTTCTCTAACCTCTGCACCACCACTAACACTTGCTTTTGTTCAATTTTAGTTGATAAATTTTAATTACATTTCTTCTTATTGTTTTGTGTTTTCGATGCAGTTTTTGTTTAACGTCCTCTTTAATTTTCATTGCTCACAGCACAACTCTGTTTAAAAAGTGTTTTATAAATAAAGTTGAGTTGAATGGTCATCTGGACATGGCTGCCTCCTTCCTAACACCAGTTTGGACTCTGCAGATCCTAAACCCCTCCATCAGTTTTCACTGCAGTCCAGGAGTGTCTCCTGTCCAACGTCTCCCCTCCTGCCCCCACTCCAGTCTCTGAGGTCCTCCTGCTGGTCTGGTCTTGGTCTGGTCTTCTTCCTGCTGGTCTGGTCTTGGCCTGGTCTTCTTCCTGCTGGTCTGGTCTTGGTCTGGTCTTCTTCCAGCTGGTCTGACCTTGTTCTGGTCTTCTTCCTGCTGGTCTGGTCTTCGTCTGGTCTTCTTCCTGCTGGTCTGGTCTTCATCTGGTCTTCTTCCTGCCGGTCTGGTCTTTGTCTGGTCTTCTTCCTGCTGGTCTGGTCTTCGTCTGGTCTTCTTCCTGCTGGTCTGGTCTTGGTCTGGTCTTCTTCCAGCTGGTCTGATCTTGTTCTGGTCTTCTTCCTGCTGGTCTGGTCTTGGTCTGGTCTTCTTCCTGCTGGTCTGGTCTTCGTCTGGTCTTCTTCCTGCTGGTCTGGTCTTCGTCTGGTCTTCTTCCTGCCGGTCTGGTCTTCGTCTGGTCTTCTTCCAGGTGCTTCTGCCCTGGTCTTCAGCTTGGTTTCATGATCCCTGCTGCTGAGGTTTCCTCGTGTTTTTCCTTTGTATGTTGGTTTGTTTTGCTGTCATGTCAGCTTGTGTTTTCTATAATTTATTTAACTTTCATTTGTTTGATTAAAAGTTTACTCACTAACCTAATGAACTCAAATGTGGTGTGGTAGTAGCTGATTGTCCTCTTCATCACACACTCTGAACAACATCAGGGTTTAAAACCAGGTGTGCGAGGTGGCGGGTGATATGCATTTGTTTCAAACAGAATGCTACTAAAGCAAATAATATTTTGGAGATCTAATGAACATGCAATTTTAGTTGATCGAAAAATGTAAGATTCAAGGTCAGTCCAAAATTTTTTGGATATGTCACAACTAAAACATAAATGCAGTGTCGTTTCTAAGTTTGTTTTACAAAACGTACAAGAGTCATTAATATCTGTGAATTTAGCAATGATACAGTTCAAGGGATATATATTATGTAACATTTTAAAGTGTACTTCTTTGTCTTTGTTAGAAATACAGAATTTGTGGGGTAAAAGCAATTTATGTCATCAACGTGAGTTCTCCTGTCAATCATTCATGAGAGCCAATAGAATGAGTCGCTGACGTCACACGTGACTTCCGGTTTTGAATGGTTACTATTTCAGGCGGCGGGCGATACGCATTTCTATTAGAAATGCCAGGCCTTTAATTTGAGGTTAATTTTTCTAAATGTCTACAGACATTATCGTAACTAACATCCTTTAAAAAAACAATGTGGGTACACAGGTACAGAACAAAATGGCGACGTTAAAAGATAGGCCGCGGCAGAGCTTCATGTTGTGGTGAAACTCGTCACCAGGAGCAGAGCTGTGGAGCAGCAGCAGGTTTTTATTTTTATTCTCAGAGTCCGTGGACAGACCTGCACTTCACTCCGCCGGCCTCAGGTCCACTGAGCCAGGCTTTATTAACATTATTAGTTGTTTTATTCAACTAATAACTAATCATTATTAGTTGTTTACTGCCTATTAGGTAAGTTCTTTCTTCATATTTCTCATTTTATACAGTAGTGTTTAAGAAAAGTATTTGGAAAACTTAAGTTTTACTTCAAAGTACAAAACTCCTCATGCATACCTGTCTTTATTAAATATTTAGAGCTAACTTTAAAAATGATTGCTTGTCCACTTTTCACTGACACTGTCTAATGTTAGCGTGTGATAGTTATTCTCATAAAGTAGGTTACTTAACTTATTACTCTCCCTAAGATATGAATTTACAGCTGTAGAATATGTTTTTACATTTTGTTTAATCAGTAAAAAAAAAAAAAAAAAATATGAAAGCCAAACTTAGCTTTTGCCTATTAACTCACTGTATCCTCACAAGAAGTAAGAATGTAAAATTAGTTGATAAATAAAACAAAAGCTATATGGCTGTGTGGTGTTTATTAAGAAGAAACCTGTTTTTTTCTGTTTGTATGCATTCTTTTTCAGCCGTGATCTAAAAACAGTCTCCTCAGATACATTTGAAATATCCCACAGTGTTTAAAAAGTGTTAAAATGGCCACACGATCATATTTTTATGTTTTGGGCCAGGATATGAAACTAATGCACTGTTGGTGTAGTCTTGTTGTGTAGTGCAGATCATTTTGGGGACATTTAATTCAAGATGACTTCGTGTTTCGACTTGAATTTCTCTGGGCAGGAAGACAAAACATGTCAAACCTGTACATGTTGAATCTGATTTGAAATATCCTGACTGAGTTTGGTCGTCTGCATGTTCACGTGGACCACAGCAGCTCTCCCACTGAAGCAGTTTGTGCAAACTCAAGTAGAGTCTGGTTGCTGCTGAGCCTGTGTCGGAGGCTATTCACGCTGACATGCCATTCACTCAGCTAAAAATAAACGTACACATTCACCACTGCTTAGAAAATGTCATTGCTCACAACCTGCTGCATGCTGTCGCTGATACACAAATTAACTAGAGACAAAGGATGGTTCGCTGTTGTTGTTTCTAATTGATAAAAATGTTGTTTTGTAGTTTTCTCCTCAGGTGCTGCTGCCATCGTGGCTCAGGCTCCATCATGTCTTCATCTTATGCTGCAGCGATGTCAGCTCTTCTTTCATCTAGCTCTCCTTCACCCATCAAACCTGAACCTTCATCAGAACCAGCATCTAAACCCGACCAGGGCCCCCGCCCTCCTCGGGCTTCACATAACCCTCCTCGATCACCTGAGCCTCTGGGGTCTTATGATGAGCAACAGGAGAATCCTGCAGACTATGACGTAGGTAGGTGAGACCCCCCAGCGCTGAAATCGGACATGCTGCTTGGGATCCTCACGTCAGCTCTGCTCTGCAGGTGGTTACTACCCTGTGAGAACTGGAGAAATGTTTGTTGATCGTTACCAGGTGGTTAAAAAGTTGGGATGGGGCCACTTCTCCACCGTCTGGCTTTGCTGGGACATGTTGTGAGTAACAGAGTCCCCTCTTGACCTTGTCTTTAGCAAAGTGGGACATAAACATGATGTTGTCTGAATGCAGGACGAGGCGTTTTGTGGCTCTGAAGGTGGTAAAAAGTGCTGAGACATTCACAGAGACGGCACAGGATGAGATCAAACTCCTTAAATGTGTCAGTGTAACCACATCTTTTTTTAAATTAAATGTGATCAATATTTTATCATAGATTACTGCTTCTAGCGTTTTTGTTTGTTTATTTTTATTGATGATATTTTAATGTTCACTATTTGACCCTCAGGTGAGGGAGAGTGATAACAAAGATCCTAAACGTGAACGGATCGTACAGCTCATCGATGACTTCAGGATCTCTGGAGCCACTGGAGAGCGTATCCTTTACACATCGTTACATGTCGTTTTATCACGTGAGGCGTGAGCACAGCCTGTGTGTTGTCTCTGAACGATTCTGTGCCTACCTACATGTAGACAGGTTTGTCTTGTAAATGAGTCTACGAGGCTCAGTGGGACTAACCTGTATAGGTAAAGGTTGAATGAATGTAGTTGAACTATCAGGACAACATGTTGCTCCTCTAATTAAAAAAGTGTGTGGAGGTTTCAAGGGAATAGGATATTTTGGCCATTTTGAAGAGGAGGTTTGCAAAAGGTTTTGAGCAGTTAATATCTTACCTGTTGTAGATAGCTCCTGGAATGACATAAGAGTGATCCACGAGTTTTTGTCAGACTGGATTTATGAGCTAATGGCTAGTCTGAATGTAGACCAAAGTGGATTGCTGCCGTCTTAAAACAGCTCCAATCTCCAAAGCGTTAAAGTAGTTTACATAAAACATAACAGAACTTTACAAATTCATCAATTTCTCATATTAAAGGGATCTCTGACTAGTTGAAACAACAGACTTTATTTAATAGACATTTGCTTCATCCATCCATCCATTCATTATCTTTTACCTGCTTCTTCCTTTTTTTGGGTCGCAGGGGTCACTGGCATCCATGTCCAACTATCATTGTGCGAGAGGCAAGGGGACACCCTGGACAGGTCTCCAGTCCACCACAGGGACACATAGAGACATTGAGACAAACAATCATTCACTCTCTCACTCACACCTAGGAACAATTTAGAGTTACCAATCAGCCTAACATACATGTTTTTGGTCTGTGGGAGGAAACCAGGGTACCTGGAGAAAACCCACTCATGCACAGAGAGCACATGCAAACTCACCCTGAAAGGTCCCTGGACCGGGATTTGAACCAGGGTAACCTGCTCACTAAGAGGCAGCAGCTCTACAAACTGCGCCACCGTGCTGCCCACATTTGCTTCAGCACGCCAGTAACAATACAGTAGACTACATGAGGTTTGTGTGTGGGGGTGGGGTGCACCTCAGCTTTAACCTTAGTGTTTGCGTTAGCACCAGAGCTAACATACTAAACATCACAAGTTGATCAGGTTTGAACAACTTGTAGAGACATCTACAACAGGTAAGATTCTTACTTTAAAATAAACATCCCTTTAATCTTCACATATTTTTGACTTCTTGTGATTTTTACCAGCCTTACAAGGACCTTCAAACTTTTGAAAACAAGTTTCTTTAGCAGTTTACCAGATGTGTGCATGGTCCTGGAGGTTCTTGGTCACCAGGTGCTGAGGTGGATCATTAAATCCAACTACACCGGCCTCCCACTGCCATGTGTGAAGAGCATCCTCAGACAGGTTTAACAACCTTTTACAGCGTCCTAACAGGTTTCTCAACTGTCTGGGCATGGATTCACTTCTGTTTCTGCTCCTCTTGACGGTGTCTTTATGCGTCTTGTTCCAGGTTCTGCAGGGTTTGGATTACTTGCACACAAAATGCAGGATCATTCACACAGACATCAAGCCAGAAAACATTCTCCTGCGAGCCGAAGATGTTTATCTTGCAAAGCTTGCAGCCAGCACCAAGCTGTGGCAGCTGCCGGTGAACCCTGCCCTCAGCAGCTCAGGTTAGTGACTTTACTTTCCTCAGTCAGAGGAACATGTGAAGGTTTCTGTCGTAGGTCTGATGGACGCTGTCTTTCTCACATGCTTTATAACCTGGACTTGTTTTTTCCTCTGTTGTTGTCTCTCTTTATGCCAGCGAACACCGACTCCAGAGAAAAACAGGTAAAAAAAATAAGTTCCACTGTTATCATTTACATTATATTGTTTGTTTGATTATTGAGCATGCATCAGGATATATATTGTTTGTTATTTGTATTTTTCCTCTGATTTCATTATGACCATTAGCTTTTCTGCTGTGATTTTCTAAGCGTTTGTTCAACCTATTTGGGAAGCTGACCGGGGTTTTGCACTCCCTTGGAGAGTGGGTAAGGAGGATGTTGTGTTTTATATTTGCACTGACATGTTTGAAGTGCGTTTGGATAAATGTGTGTTGGCTGGAATGCAGCATGCTAATTGTGAGACACTTATATTAATGTTAGGTCTTCTTGTTATTACATCAGTCACATGCATGAGACTTTTTATAAGTGAAAACTAATGCATGTTACCTTCTGCCTGATGAGAGAAGCAAATCCTAATCTAATCCTATTTCCTAATCTGTGTCATGTTTATTAGCTGTATGGGATGTTATCATAAAGTACAAGCATGACAGTACACCAGTCTAGCTTTAAATGTATACAGTTACTGCATAATAACAGTAATTTCATATTTAAAATTAGGTACCAGTATATCCAGATGTTGTTCCGTTTCATTTATGTTGTTGTTAAAGGATGGTATTATTTATTTTACTTGTTTAAAAACTTTTTGAGTTAAAGACCTAGCATTCGTTGAAGGAACGCACATCGCCCGCTTCTTTTCATAACAGAGATTTAGACGAGGACCATCTTATGTTGAGAAATGACAAAGGTGTGGCCAAACTGGTCAAACCTTGAAAATAACGTATCGGGCCATCTCATGCAATATTGCAATATACTGTATCATGCTCAGAGTGTGTGTTATAAATAATTCCCAACTACTACTACGTCAAATCTTAGCTCTTATAAAATTGAGAGTTATGATAATTTTAGGAAAGGTCATTGTTGATGGATTAACTTAAAGTTTATCATTTGTAGATGTGCATCTAGCGATTATTTCCTGAAAGATTGATTAAAATGTGTCCAGTGGTTCATGAAATATTTTGCTAACAGATAGAGACAAACACAAGGAGCTGGACAAAAATATTACTTTATTGCCCAGCTTTCTTCTTTTGGTGGCAGGCAATAGATATATGAATATTTCCCAACTCACTATACAGTTCAAATATTTTATAACGAGTTCATATATTATAGCAGGTTTTTTTTCATGTGCTGCCCAGTATACACTAGTATATTATCATAGTAACAAGACAGGGCAAACAAACACTCAATGTACGTGTACATTTTTACTGTATTTATTTGAGTTTACTAGTCACACCTGACCTGGTTTCTACTGAGAATAAGAACTGTAGAACAAGTTGAACATTGAAACATGTTGCACAGAACGTTTAAAGAGAACGTTCAAGGAGAACGTACAGAACGTTTAAAGCAGACCTCTGTATGGTCGCATGTGGTGTGTCAGAGGAGACAACTGCAGATTTTGATGTTTCTCCAGCAGCTGCTGTTGTGGTTTCATACAAACTTGTTGTTGGCAACACTTGAACAGAATCCAGAGCTCATCAAGGCTCTTTGAGTCTGCAGCTCTAACCATGTTTATCTGTTGAAGTGTCCATGAAGGGACAAAGAGAACAAACGTATTGAGACATTGTCAAAAGCAGCGCCGTTGCCTGATCTGCTGCTCTTTGTAAACAGGCCGGAGGTTTTTTGATTCAGTAATTTCCTTTTAAATAATAAATAAATAAATAAAAACCTTATTGTCATACAAATTTGTACAGTACACCATGCAAAATTGAACAAAATTTCATTTCATTTTTCCACAGCAGTGTAGGAGTACATTATTTACATTAATTTTATAAACTCTGGTGTTTGGAGCAGAAGATGCAATTCTGGTGCAGATAGATGTGCAAATGTTCCTATATACACCTAGACATATGATACATGTATACATGCATGTACAGATATCTACATATACAGTAATTTCTGGACTATTGAGCTCAACTGAATATAAGCCGTGCCCCTGTGAGTGCCCGGGTGTGATGCAGATAAATGTTTTTGGCAGCAGGAAGCTTGTTAGTTCGTCAAAAAAAAAAAATCCATTAATTAGAAGCATTGTATAAGGCGCTGGGTTCAATGCCTGTGAAAAAAGTAGCGGCTAATAATCCGGAAATTATGGTATGTGTATACACACATACACAATACACACAGCATCCATGCATGAGTGAATTTCCACATACTGCTTATTTATGTAATGGTGTTTACTAATGTGTGTGTGTGTGTGTGTGTGTGTGTGTGTGTGTGTCCTTGTTAATTGCTACTTTGTGAGGCCCATTTTTCCAACTTATACTACATTGTGAGGACCAACTGCTCCTTATGGGGCCCAAAGCCCGGGCCCCATAAGAAGAAGTCCCGTTGGTGGGTTAGGGGCTAGGTTTAGGACTAAGGTGTGAATTGAGGATGTGTTAGGTTTAGGGTTAGGTATGTACTGGTAATGGTTAGGTTATGGATAAAGGTCATGGTTAGGCTATAGAAATGAATGAAAAATGAATGGAAGTCAATGCAAAGGCCCCACAAAGATAGCAAAACAAACCTGTGTGTGTGTGTGTGTGTGTGTGTGTGTGTGTGTGTGTGTGTGTGTGGTCACTTCATTAGTAACCTGAGTTCAGCAGTTTGAGCTTGTAGGATGAAACTGTTGCAGAACCTGGTGGTTCTGGTCCACAGGCTGTGGTACCTCCTACCAGAGGTCAACAGAGTAAACAGCCCATATTGTGGGTGTGAGCCGTCTCTTTTGATTTGTTATTTTCATGCAGTGTTCACATGTGATCATTTCTCACTATCAGTCCAGCAAGGTCTCCAAGAGTCCAATCAAGCGTCTGGCAGGGAAGGACAGAAGCCATCTGGGACAGAAGAATCCAGCTGACCACAAACCAGACAAACCGCTGGCGTCTCTCTCTGATGCTGCGGCAGCCTCAAGCGCACACGGCTCAACGTTGAACACAAAGCTCACAGGTCCTAACCTCAGGAGAAGGAGACAGACTTTGCTGTTTGAGGACACGCTGGACAGTGCTTCACACAACTGCAGAGACTCAGCTCGGCTGCAGTTTGGCTCACAGCCAAACTGCAGCATGGCTACTCCAGTTTTTGGGTCCAGAACTGTGAAACTTCATCAAACTGCAGGCACAGAGCTTCCTCCCCCTTCATCATCCTCACCCTCAGCTCAAGGTCTGTCCCATGACTTTTTAAAACTTGATCTGCTCAAGATAATTTCATGAAACTCGATGTGCATCATCACTAGACGAAGTGTTGCATATATTTCATCACCCCAGCTCCAAGGTCAAGATCACAAATCAAGGTCAAAGTTTATATAAAGTCTGCTTGTCTGGCCATCGCTATAGATACACATTTTTGATAACAAGCTAATGTGTCATACACAGTACTCTTGTTTTAAACTGCTGTGAAACAAACACTTAGTGTGAAAACAAATCTACATGAGCAGTAAGTTTTATTGAGCTGTTGTACGTTTATTAAAACAAGAAAGACTGAGCAAAGTTGTCGTTTGATCCACGTACCATTCTCTGTTTTAGGAACGAGTGACCCTGAAGTAGCGTTAGACCTCCTGAAACCTCAAAGTGCTGACAAGATTCTCATCAAGATTGCTGATCTGGGCAACGCCTGCTGGGTGGTGAGTGATTAATCAGATTAATCCGCGACAACACTGGAAGCAGATTACCATCAAACATTTTACCTGGAGTTTATCAGAGTGTGTGTAGATCTGTGATAGTTCACTCAAACCATTCAGCTCATGCATTTTTTCATGGCGAGTTGTGTAAAAGTCATGTAATCGTGTTTTTGTTGCCAGCACAAACACTTCTCTGAAGACATTCAGACTTGTCAGTATCGCTCCATTGAGGTGCTGATTGGTGCTGAATACGACACAGCTGCCGACATCTGGAGCACGGCCTGCATGGTGAGCTGAACACCAGAGCAAATACTTCCATTTTTAAAGAAACCTTTCCGTGTTTTTTTCACCTTGTCACTTGGTTTTGTGAAGGCTTTTGAGTTGGCCACTGGAGATTATTTGTTCGACCCTCAAGCTGGAGCTGCATTCTCCCGCGAGGAAGGTTTGTGTTATCCACAAGGGTTTTCTGTCTTTAAGTGAAATAAATAAATAGTTTTATCTTCTTTCAGACCACATTGCCCACATCATAGAGCTACTGGGACCACTTCCATCTCAGTTTGTCCTTTCTGGAAGGAATGCTAAACACTATTTCAACCGAAAAGGTAAGAGCTGTTTGTTTCAGTGTTAAAAAGTTATTTTTCTTTAATGCTCTTTTTATTACCCGTCACTAAAAGTCAGGAGATAATGTCTTTGTCTGTATGTGTGTGTGAGTTTGTCTGCTTGTTACCAAAACACTTCATGAACCTGTAGTAAATCTCTCAGAGAGTAATTGCTAGATGAACATCTGCAACAGATTAAATTATGGGGTCAACCAGATTCAAATTGGTTGCTACAACCAATTGACCATAACAAACACAAACATGGTTGCACCTCTGTCTGTTTAATTGATATTGCTCTAATGTCTGATGTCCTGGTAGCTGGAAGTCCTCAACACATACTCTGGACACTACAGTAGTCCCTCGTTTATCGCTAGGGATCTGTACCCTGAAGCCCCGCGCTAAGTGAAAAACCACGAAGTAGGAATAATAGTACAAGTAGTAAGTAGTAGTTTATTTTAGTATATATATCAGTGTTTCCCCTACCATTATACAAGCAGGGCACCCCGCCCCGTCAACAGAACCAAACGCCCTGTCTACCCGGACCTCCCACCCAAACCTCCTGTTGGCACTGACGTAACGCTAAATTAGCAGCTTGCAATGCAGATGCAGTAGCTAAAAAGCTAAAGGCAGCCTCTTACCTCATGCTAAACCCTCACACTGAACCCCCACCCACCCCCCACCCCCACAACAAAATCACGGACAAGATGAGCACCCCACCATGGCAAGTTATCTAGGGGAAACACTGACAGTCCTCTTATTTAGGCTTATTTGCTACAAAAATTGTGTAACATCTATAAGAGCTGGTGACATATATTCAGTAACAGCCATATGATATGCATAG